TAAAATAAAATAAAATAAAATAAAATAAAATAAAATAAAATAAAATACTTGCAAGGATAGATATGAAAATGTTAAGAAAATAATTACATCTTTAGATGATAAAATTAGAAGCATTTTCAGGTAGGGATAGAATGTATTTATTTAGCTTATAAAATTACTATATTGCAAACATGTACTGTTTTTTTTAACCAGCAAAAGCAATAAACCATCAGCAGTGCTGGTACATGCTGAGTTACATAGCATGAGAACGATGTTCTTGTGTCTGCTTCTTTAAGGTTTGCTTATTGTTTGTGTTTTTTTGTGTACTTTCATGTGTTCATGTGACCCACACACATGCAAATGTCCTCAGGTCAGAAAAGGGCATCGGCTCCCCAGGAACTGGAGCTACAGATGGTCCTGGACCACCATCTGGATGGTAGGAAGAGAACCTGGGTCTTCTCAAGAGCAACAGGTGCGCTTAACTGCTGGAGCCATCTCTCCAGGCCCCACAATTTGTTTTAAACCAGTTACTGTCATGTCAGTGTGGGCTCCGTTGGCAGAGGAGAACTGACCCTGAAGCAAGGAAATATGTAAAGGATGACACCAATGTGATGCCAGGTGAATCAGCCTCTTCATTCTCAGGCTGCTGAGTAATGTGTAGACCTTGTGGCCAGACAGCAAGGCCGGGCTTTCTCCATCAGACATCTTCAGATAATGAACTTGGGCTAGAGAGATGGCTCAGAGTTAAGAGCATTTCCTGCTCTTCCAGAGGACCAGAGTTCGGTTCCTAGTGCCCATGCCATGCAGCTCATAACTTCCTGTAACTCCAGCCTCAGGGAATTGGATGCCTTCTTCTGACCTCTGCAGGCACCTACATACACAAGGCCTGCATATATGAGAATGACTAGTTGATTGAATACAGACTCACTCATGGAGAAATGTATCAATGTTAAAAGCAGAATAAGTGCTGGTGCACACCTTTAATCCCAACACTCAGGAGTGTGAGTTCAAGGCCAGCCTAGTCTGCAGAGTTCTAGAACAGGCAAGGCACAGAGAAACCCTGCCATGAAGAAAAAAACAAAAAAAATGACCACCACCAACAAAAGGCAGAATAATTAGTCATTAATCAATATTTTTAGGGAGTTTATTTCAATTCTCTCTTTTAACCACTTATCTGAAGAATTTGTTTTCCAGTTCCTGAGAGCAGAAATGGGCCGAGACTACCGGCTAGCACAAAAATTATGTCAGATGAGTAAGTACAAAACACGTACCTTCTCTAGCCATTCCTTTGTTTCTAGAACAGCTCTCATAATATGAAGGTGGCTTGACTTTCCCAGTCTAGTGAATTCTCTACTCTTGTCTCAGGGATCCTTAAGAATAAACGAGTTGTTAATATATCAGCTCACTGGGACTCCTAGGGTACCTCTCTGTGTAGAACATCAGTGTAGACAGACTGACTGCTATCCTGGAAAACAGAACCTTCATAACGTAGGAGGCAGTGAGTCGCTTTATGCTGCTAGTGTCAGAGAAGAGTCAGATGCCACGGGAGTCTATGCTAACTGAACATGTGTTTATTCCGCAAATGTTCAACCCTGACTGTGTGCCAGGCACTGTGTGAGAGCCTAGATAATGAGCAGTCAGCCAAAACCAACCCCACAGGGAGGTCTAGTGTTGGACAGACAATAAACTGGTAAGTCCATGGTATGTGACTGAACGGTAGGCACAAGAGGAAAATAAGCAAGAGGAAGAGAGGGCACTAGAAGGTCAGTTTCCATAGGATGGCCTGGAAGCCTTAGCTCAGAGCTTGAGGGCAGATCTGAAGGGTAGGAAGCCAGTCTGTGGGCATCTGGGGGAGTACGGTACAGAGCAGGATAAACTACAGGTGTGCTGGGAAGGGAGAGGCCTGAAGGCAGCACCAGAAATCAGCGCAGAGCAGACTGGGCAAGACGCAGATGCTGGCCTCTAAGGCGAGAGACGGGACGCGGGCCCAGGGCCCAGTGGGCTGCACAGACCTTTCCCAGCTAAAGGACCTTGTTTTGCACTTGTGGTAGGTGGAAAACACCGGAAGCTTTTGATCAGAGGAGAAATAGGGCCTACCTTATCTTTCTATCTGCTGTTTGGTGGTGGGAATTACTCAAAATGGTTGTGGCTTTCTTTGGGTTTAAGCAACGGCCGTTTGCTGACTTTGTTAAATCTGTACTTGATACTTTCATCAAAGTCACGTTTTTCATTACCTTTTCACATACAACTCATGCCCTAGTCACTATCCTTTTCCTGGGTCACAGTTACAGACAAAAACAAAAACAAAAACTTTTAAAATAGTGCCTAATATGTATCTTTCACTCAGCTCTGAGTTTTAAATTTTAATTGTGGAAGTTGGAGAGTTGGCCCCGTGGTTAAGAGCACTGGCTGCTCTTTCTGAGGACCTAGGTTCAGTTCCCAGCACCCACATGGCAGCTCACAACTGTCTGTCACTCCAGCTCCAGGGGGTCTTGAACCTTCACAGACACACATGCAGGCAAGACACCAGTGCACAGAAAATAAAAACAATTCCTTACATTTTAGTTCCATGCTTTGTTTTGGGCATTTCCTATGATCTGTTTTTGAGGTTACTCACCCTCCTTCCCCGTGTCCAGTCTGCTGCTAAAACTGCCGGGGAGTGAAACTCAGAGATTCTGTTTTCCAGTTTTGGAATGTTTCTTTAATGATTTTGAACATTCCCAGCTCTCAGCTGGTGTTTACTGTATTCCCAACCATTCAACCATTGGCTCCCCTTCTCTTGTCTTTTGAGACATGACCTCTCTATGTAATCCTGCCTGTCTAGTAACTCACTATATAGACCAGGCTGGCCATGTAGATAAGGCTGGCCCCACCTTAGCTTCTAATATGCTCGTCAAGGTTATTTTAAAAGAGAAAAATGACAACTTTATTTTTCACTGGTAACAAGACCCAAAATGGCGAGTGCACTGCACTTCAGTGAAGAGAATGCACAGCCCAGGGCTGAGTGTCCCCACTGTGGTACAGCACCTCTTCCTTCCACTTGAAATGGGTTTCTAGAACCTCTTAGCACTTCCTTCTGTCCAGTCTTTTTTTAAATTTTATTTATTTTTTTAATTTACTACAGTTTATTCACTTTGTATCCCAGGAGCAGCCCCCTCCCTCATCCTCTCCCACTTCCACCCTCCCTCTTGCTTTTCCTCCCATGTTATTTCCCTAGTCCCTGGAGGACCTCCTCCCCCTTCTATCTGACCTTACCCTGACTGGCTGCATTGTCCTCCTCTGTGGCCTGGCAAGGCTGCTCCCCTTGGGGGGAGTGGGGGTGATCAAAGAGCCAGCCACTGGGTGCCCTCTTGGCAACTGAGATGCCATGGGCTATATCTGAGCAGGGTTTCTAGGTTATCTCCAGGTATGGTCCTTGGTTGGTGTATCAGCCTCAGAAAAGACCCCTGTGCCCATATTTTTGGTTCTGTTGCTCTCCTTGTGGAGTTCCTGTCCCCTCCAGGTCCTTCTATCTCCCCCTTCTTTCATAAGAATCCCTGCTCTCTGCAGTTTGGCTATGAGTCTCAGCATCTGCTTTGATACCCTGCAGGGTAGAGTCTTTCAGGGGTCCTCTGTGGTGGGCTTCTGGCCTGTTCCCTGTCTTCTCCCTCTTCCGATGTCTGTCTTTTAAACAGCATGCTGAGAGTCAGCCTTGCACATGCTAGTGCATCCCCCACAGCTTAGCGAGCCTCGCCCCAGATCCTCAGCTCTCAGATTTTGTAAAGAAACTGAAGCAGAAGGAAGTAGACACAGGAGGGTGGGACTCCAAGCCTTTTTGCTCCAGTGCTCTCCTTCTCCCCAAAGGGGAGAATAGAAAAGTGGGTGATCTATTCTGTTCACTCTCAACTCTGTGGATTTCTTATGGAGCCCGACTTGGGGAAATTTATACATACATACATACATAAGTGCGTACATACATACACATATATTCAGATACCCGCATATATAAATACATACTCACAAATACACACACACACACACACACACACACACACATACACATATATTACATATATTCTGTAGCCACCAATCTTTTCAGAAAGCCCAGCTGAAGCCTACAGACTCAGCACTGGTCTCCCATCCACCAGGCAGTTCCGACCAACAGCCGTGCAGTGCGTGCTGCGCTTTGGCCTGCTGTGCCCTGTGAACATCACTAAATGCTAGGTCAGTGGGGCTGAAAAGTTTTATTGCTTCATGGAGTTATATCCTCAGGAAATGCCCCCCCCCTTGCTTCCAACACTTACACGATGATCACATATTCCGCCCCTAACATTATGCGGGAAAGAGAACAGGGAAGGAGGGCCCCTGTGGGTACCCTTTAAACATAGTTTGTTTTCGCACGCTGGGTTACCCGTTTACCCTGCTTGCATTTCCGTCTTCTAGCCTGTAGAATGTGTGTCTATGCCTGAAAGGGTATGTTTCCTGTCCCTCTGTTTATATTCGTTTACCCTGATATTTAGAGGGCTCCTGCTATGTGATTAGGGGATACAGCAGAGTCCGGCTGAGAAACTGAGTCAGAGCTCGCTACACTGCTTTGCCAGCCCAGGCCTGCAACCAGAAGAAAACCCCACTGAACATTAGAGACCATTCTCTAATCCTAAATCCTTTCTTTTGCTCTCTCTTTCTTCCCCATTCCCCCTTTTTTTTTCTTTTTCAGTTTTATTGAGACAGGGTTTCTCTGTGTAGCCCTGGCTGTCCTGGAACTCACTCTGTAGACCAGGTTGGCCTCCACCTCACAGAGATCTGCCTGCCTCTGCCTCCCGAGAGCTGGGATCAAAGGTGTGCGCAGCCACCCAGACATTCTTTTAAAATAATAATAATAACAACTAATACTTATTAGTTGTTCTACCATGTGCCAAACACTGAGCCACTATCATGAGGTAATCAGTGTGTTAGGCAGAATAAGGAGACCGAAACTGAGGTGCAGGCTGGAAATACTGGAACAGGACCCAAAAGCGTTCCTGTGGGGCTCTTTCTTTCCTGGGTGCCCAGGCTACGCTCTGCTTCCCTTAGGTAGGCCCAGGTTAACAAGCAACCTTTAAAACAAAATGTTAGCAATTTCTCTCACCTTGTCACTAAGGTTGACCCCCTTAGTCACCCTCGAAGTAAGTCCAGAAAAAACACCAGAGTAAACATTGCCGGCTAAGCCTTAGAGCTGTTCCCATCCCTTCACTCGGAAAACTGACAGGCACAGCGGCCAGGCTGAACCACAGGAATAGCTAATCTCGTATCTGATCCAGTGAGGTAATCCTAATCTGGAAAGAAATTGCCTAAACTGTCCTAAGAATCCTTAGCGGGTTCCACCAAAAAGAGTCCATCAAAAAAAAAAATTGGGGGCGAAAACCATGTTCTGAATATTTAAATGGTTCAGTAAATCCTCTGCTACTCCGCCATGTAAACTACCTCCTTAACTGCATCTGAGCTGCTTTCTCAAACCCACACTAAGAAATGGGTACGAAAAGGAACAAATCAGAGAAAGTGCTCTACAAAGAGGCTTTGCCTCACAGGAATCTTTAGACTGATGATAAGCGTATTTTAGTCTAACTTAAAACACAGAAAGAAGTAGTTCTGCAAAACTGGCTCAGAAGATACCTGCGGTCCTTAAGGAGCCATGAGCTGGCACACAGTCCAACTCAGACTGATGATAGATGTTAGTCACAGTTGAATGGTTCAGAAATAGTATTGGCAAGGTGAAGCGAGGCAGAGGCCAGGGGACCATTTCCTCAGAGTCAGTGGAGCCTTGCACCATCACAATTGCCTCTCACACACAGGCCCCTTGCGGCCCCCCAAGATACCACACAAGCGTGAAGTAGGTGTTCGGAAGGAATCAGGAATACTCTTCAAGGCCGATGGGAAGGAAGTAGAGGGTGAACTACAGAGTTTTGAAAAAAAAAAAAAAAAAAAAAAAAAGGGTGACTCTGAATGAAATTCTGGCCTCTAGGATATTGGTAGCCTCTCAGCAAGCCCCGCAAAAGATAGGATGTAACAATTACAGCAAGGATCAGCCAAAGGGAAGGTTTAAAAAACAGGGAGGGGGTAATGAAGAGGTAGTGGCTAGGGTTGGGGTACAGACTAAAGTTTTGTCAGAATAGAGAGAAATGTCAAATCTCCCTATTTGAAACATTGGCACTTCCGTCATGGAAGAGCTGCTTCAGGAAGAAAACTGTACTCTTTAGGGATAGAGGGGGGCCTCTTTGTAGCCACTGTCATGTGGCACTAGGTGGAGGAGACTGGGAGGGGGTTGGTGGACCTCTTTCACACAAGCCACTTAAGCATTCGTGAGACCTTTGCACTTTGGAGAGTTTGCTTCTCAAAGTGCTTCCATCGCTGGCCTGGGAAGGAAGCTGATTTGAGGAGATTGTGTTCTTTTTGGACGGGAGGTAGGAAATACAGGGAACGTCATTTCTCACATAAAATACCAATTATAAGTGGAGCCTTTTCTTTGTGCTCAGATGTGATGTAATTGCTTTGTGCTTTCACCTGCTCTGAGTGGCAGCTTCAATCTTTGTCACTCTAAGGGGCTGTTTGCTGAAACCCTCTGGATATTAAATGTATATTCTGTTGTGCATTTTCAGTCCTTATCTATGAACCAGAAAATCCCGTGGCCAAGGAATTTTTCTCACTTATTGAAGAAATATTGCTGAAGGGTAATTTTAAATTTTGCAATTCTTTTTTTTTTCCTCATTGAACTGTAGATGGTGTTTAAAAAGAAAATGTTATGAGAGATTGTGAAAATACGGGTTCAGGAAATGTTAAGGAATGTCTAACTCATGGTTCTCAACCTTCCTAATGCTTTAATATGGTTATTTGTGTTATGGTAACCCCTGACCATAAAATTATTTTTTGTTGCTACTTCATAACTATAATTTTGCCACTGTTAGGCATCAGAGTGTAAAATATCTGTGTTTTCTGATGGTCTTAGGTGACCATTTGAAAAGCTTTTGACTCTCAAAGGGGAGTTAAGAACCACTGGCCTAAATGGATGTTTTGAATAGCGTAGTAAAATCAAAGCTTGTCTTCTGAGTAGGAAAGGTGACTGGCCCGCTCTCTGCGTGGCGTGGAGCTGCCCAAACAAGGAGCCTGTGTAAACCACACCCGTGTGTTAGGGTATTACGTGCTTCCCAATTTCCGAGATGCCAGGACCCCCTAAATTACCCTAACTCAGTTTCCCTTACTCTAATTGAGGAGTTCTTTTCCCTTTTAAAAAGTTTGGTTGGTTGGTTTCTGAGACAGAGCATCAAGGCCCGGCGGTCGTGACCCTCCTGCCTCAGCTTCTAGAATTCAGGGATCCCACATGGACTGTGTCATTGCCAATAGCCTGGTGTCATTGCCAATAGCAGAAGTTCTTTTTAGACACCTGTGTCTAAGTGAACCTTGAGCGCACAGACGTCTGCCCGATAGGCAACAGAAATACGTTTGACTTTCTTGTTCTGTTTTGATTCTACACCAAGTCTAGCTCAGTGTTTATGCTCCTCAAAATACACATTTCATGGTGTAAAGTAGGAGTCGAGCAGATATAAGTATTTTCAGCGTGGGGACCCTGGCGGGCTTCACTAGTGCCGCTCTCCTTTCTGTGGCAGAGAAAGCTCAGAAGAGCGAGGACGATGAAGAGGACAGTGAGGAGGACACGAGCAGCGAGAGTGAGGCAGAGAGCAGTGAGGATGGGAGTGACGACAGCTCCGACAAGTGTGAAGATGGGTCCTAACGGCCGCCGCTATGGAGAATTATTTTCAAGAGTGTGTGCCATGCAAATGCAAATATAAAGAAGAGAGACAGTGCCTAGTGTGTCCATGGTTTCTCAGTGCTCTGCATTCTTAGTTGGAGCTCCTCGACCATGTTCGAGGCAGGACACACAGAGAGGGACGCAGCGAGGAGGCAGAGTGTGCTGAGACCACGGCAACCGCTCACAAGCTTTATTTCACCCTACAGCCCTAAGTAGTAAGCATGTTACTGTCCCCATTTTTCAGGCGACAAAAGTGTGGCGCGGCGAGGGTAAATAGTTCCTCCAGGGTGAGTCACCTCTTTATAGCGTCTGGATTTGGCGCCGTGATAGATGGCTCAACATCTGTGCTTTCAACTTCCTTTCAATGACCTCAAGCCTTAAAAGAGAAATAACAATAATTCACGTGGCGTGTGTCTGCGGTGCTCAGCAACTCCTTCCTGGCGGAGGGAGTAACCTCCCCATTCGTGACACAGGACTTCGGTGTTTCTTAAGATTGTATCCCTAGCAACTGGTAAGTAACTGGAAAATAAAGGTGTGTGTGTGTGTGTGTGCGTCCTCTGGAGGCCAGAGGGGACAATGAGTTCCCTGGAACTTGAGTTTCAGGTGGTTGTGAACCCCTGAGGGTGGTGGGAACTAGAGCAGTAACCGGTGCTCTTAGCCACTGAGCCATCTCTCCAACCCCGAGATTCAATGTTCTTTGATAAATTTCTGCCACTTTTAAATTGGCTGTGAGATAATTAAGGTAAAATTTAAAATAACCCCTAAATAATTTCTTTATAAATAGGCCAATCTGAATGGAGGGCAAGAGTTTTTTTGTTTTTTGTTTTTTTTAATATACCACAGTGTCATGGTATGTACAAAAATACAGCATAGTTCACAAAATACTCTAAAACCGTTACTGAAGACTAAGGTGTTTTTTTTTTTTTTTTTTTTTTTTTTACATTTATTTATTTGTACCTGTGTGTGCGCGCGTGCACCTGTGCACACATTTCACCAGTGTTCATGTGGAGGTCAGAGGATGACTCACAGGAATCGGTTCTCTCCCTCCACGAGAGTTCCAGGCTGGACAGTAAGTGCCTAACCACCACGCCACTTCACCAGGCCATGGACACGCTCGGTTCACACTGAAGCTCATTACCAAAAGGTTCTTGAAGGGAAGGCCTCATGCAGAAGGAGACGGTGAGCTCGGGGCAGACTCTCACTGAAAGAGTAAAGTGTGAAAAGTAGAGACTCAAACATCATTAGCTCCGTCAGCAAACCTACAGAATGAATAAGAGGGAAAGACACACAACACCTTTAAGTAATAACCTTAAATACATCTGAGTGGATCTATTCCAAGGGAAATGAGTACTCTCGGTTGTATCAGGAGGCCTAGTCTATTGTGGGTGGAGATAATCCTGGTCTTATGGTCCTGGTCCTGCAGGCTGGGCAAGCCACAACAAGGCAATAAACAGCGCTCCTCCGTGGCCTCTGCGCCAGCTCCTGCCTCCAGCTGACTTCCTTCACTTATGAGTGGATATTGACATATAAACAAAATCAGCCCTTTCATCCTCACGTTGTTTTTGGTCATGGTGTTTCATCACAATAGTGACCCAAATTAAGACAGGATTTGACATCGGCAGGCACCAGGCACCCATATGGTGCAGATACATATAAGCAGGCAAAATGTTTATAAAATAAATCCTTGTAATGGAGGCTACAGAGTCTGAACTGGCCATCTTCTGGCAAGGCAGGCAAGGCTTCCAGTAGTGGGGCTGGGATACCAACCCAGCCACAAAACCCTCGGCCTACAATCTGTCTTGCCTGCAAGACATGCTGGGGCATTGGCAGAACTTTTGGGAGTGGCCAGCCACAAGTGTGTATTGTAGGCATTGTATGGACAGTTTTACTTTGAGGCCCACACCATGAGAGGGAGCCCGTGTCCATCACTGCCTGATGACCAGGAACCGGAGGCTGGATAGCCCCAGAGACCTAGGTTAGAGCCAAACACTGGCAAAAAAAAAAAAAAAAAAAAAAAAAAAAAAAAAAAAATTCCTAATGATGTGCTGCTCTATATTCATAGACTTGTGCCTTGTCCATCAGCTGTTGGGAAAGAATGCTGAGACTCACAGCCAAACACTAGGCCGAGAGAGCCCAGGTTGGAGGTCTCCATTGGCTCCCTCCTGTTGGAGCTCAGGGAACCCCTCAGGAGGGTGAAGAGGAATTGTAGGGGCCAGAGGAAAGACACGGGAGATCATGATGCCCAGAATCAACTAAGCAGAGCTCATGGGGGCTTACACAGACCGAAGCAGCAATCTCGGAGCCTGGCTAGGTCCTCTGCATATATGTTATGGTGGTTGGCTTGAGGTTTTGGGGGTGACTCCACAGTGGGATTGGGGGCATTTCTGACTCTCCTTCCTGCTCTAAGGACCCTTTCCCACCTACTGGGTTGCCTCATCCAAACTTGATGCTCAGGTTTGTGCCTGGTCTTACTGTATTTCTTGTGCCATGTTCAGTTGCAGTCCCTGGGGAGGCCTGCTCTTTTCTGGAGGAAGATGGAGGGGGTTGGGGGTTGGATCTTGGGGGAGAATGGAGATGTGGGGAACTGAGAGCAATGGAGGGAGGGGCAGCTGCACTCGGGATATATTGTATGAGAGAAGAATAAACAAAAAACTTTTAAAAGCCCACTGGGTATCAGTTGGCATTATGGTGCACACCCAAAAGTACTCAGGAGGTGAAAGTAGGGGAATGAGGAATCTGAGGACAGCCTCAACTACATATGACCCTGTCAAAAAAATACATAACATGCTTAGAAATTAACACAGCCCAGGAAGTGAAAGACCTCTGCAGATACACACATGCATACACACACATCACACACATACACACCACACAAACATTACACATCACAAAAGTCAGCTGTGTGAACATTTGCACGTATGTGTTGGGTTTTTGAGGCAGGGTTTCCGTCTGTAGCCCAGGCTCATCTTGAATTTACATCAATCTTCCCCTTTACCTCCTGAGTACTGGATTCATAGACATGTGCCACCCCAAGAAGTTCAATTAGATATTTCAATTGTTAGCTTTAATGAGCTCCTTGTCCCCTTTCAACATTTCAGCTGCTTTGTAATGAGGCTTTGGGTCTTTTAAGGCCTGGATCCCTAAGTGCATCTTTGTAACAAAAATACTTTAAATGTCTTTGCAGGAACCATCACTTGGAAATTACCTTTCTGTGACAGTGATACATTTCACAGTAACTTGCTTATCACTTCACAGTAGGCTCAAAGCCTTGCCCATCATAAGACGTGCCAAAATCAGTTTCTTCCTACTGATGTCAGGAGAATTGTTCTGTTTTGTTTGAGACAGGGTTTCTCTGTGTAGCCTTAGCTGTCCTGGACTTGCTTTGTAGACCAGGCTGGCCTCGAACTCACAGAGAGCCACCTGCCTCTGCCTCCCCAAGTGCTGGAATTAAAGACATGCACCACCAAGCCTGGCTTGGGAGAATTTAACCAAAGGTGGGACAGAATAATTCAGCCAACTTCATCATCCCCAAAATACTTTCTTTTAACTCAAAACCTGTCAGTGAAAGAAAAACATTAAAATCAAATGTTGCAGCTGGTCGTGGAGGTTGCACACCTTTGATCCCAGCACTCAGGAGGCAGAGGCAGGCAGATCTAGTTCGAGGCCAGCCTGGTCTACAGGGCAAGTTCAGGACAGAAAAACCCTGTCTCGAAAAACCAAATTAAAAAAAGTCGCTAGATGAAATTAATAAAGAGTCTCAAACTCACTCTCTTAACCACCCGCTAAGACAATGCTTGGACATTGTTGCAATCCTCTGTGTCACTTACATTCTTCAAGGAGGCTTTGGTCTAGGGGTGGGAGTAGGGATTTTGCTCTTTGCTCTCCCTTCCTCTGCCTTCTCATCTGAATCCAGAAGAACAAAAAAACCCAAACCAGCCCAAGACCAACCAGCCACATTCACTCTGCAGTCAGGTGCCTTGCCTCCCTGATCAAAATCCCAGATGTGCACTGGGAGATTTAGAAATGCGTCTATTCAGCCGTTCAAAATAAAACCAAGAAAGCATGAACTGGGTGGTTATAGTGATTAAGAAGCATCCTGTGGTGGGACGCAATGGTAAGACAGTGATGATTTGGTTTCACAGACCTTTGTGTGTGTGTGTGTGTACGTGCGTGGTGCAGTGCCTGTGTGTGTAGGCCAGAGGTTGACACTGGGTGGCTTCCTCTGCTGCTTTCCACCTTGTTCTTCGAGACAGGACCTCTCACTGGCCCCAGTGGTGGTCAATTGATTAGACTGGATGGCTTAGTGACCAGCTGGACATCAAGGCTCCAAAATCAGCAGTGGATTTTCAGGTGCACTCCACCATAGCTTTTTATGTGGAGTTTGGGGATTTGAATTCAGGTCCTTATGATAACAAAACAGATACTTTATCAATTGAGCCATCTCTCCAGCCCCAGAGCTTATCTTAGTGGAAAGAATGAATACTAAATAAGGTAAATAAGTGGTAAACAGTGTTGGGGAAAAGAAGTGTCCTAGAGAATCACAGTGTTAAATAGAAGGGTGAGAGACGGTCTCACCGAGAAAAAGACCATTAGGTCAAAGACTAGAATGTGGAGGAAAGAGCCTTGCGCACACCCAGGGAAAGATCTGCAGGTGGCTGAAAAGCCCAGAGATGGGAGGATTGTTGGTATAATGTTCTTGTGGAATGTACACAATTTACCCTTGTTCATTCAAATGATGATTTTTCTCCCCCACTATCTGATTTCAATCTGGACATTGCATTGTGATGCTTATTCTAAGCATCACCTGTCTCAAGTTTATGTAAACATGCCACCATTTGTTCTCTGTATTGTCAATAAAACAACCAGTCAATGCTGAGCAAGGGAAGAGCGTGGGGTGGGACATCCTGGTCCAGAGGGGAGGAGAAAGAAGAGAGTAGGAGGGTCGAAGAGGAGAGGTCGGCAGGAGAGGACTTGGAACCATGAGGAGAGATGAACCCGACCTAAAATATGACTAAAAGCAAGTATAATGTGGGAAATCTGAATGGGAGGAAACTAT